TGGATATTTTTACATGACAGTAGAACTTTAATGGCAGATTGACATTGCTATGTCCTTTTTTCCTGCCGCCCTTTTTCCTTAACATATAACTAGACTGAGTGACTTGTTCCCCAGATCTACTGAAGGCGAAGGGCCTGATTTGCATCACATCTTTGGGGAATGTATGGGGAAGTAATTCCTTGGATATCAACAGAATTGCATAAGTTTATGTTTGCGGAGAATCCCATCCCAAGTCAACTCAGTTCCTCTTAGCTTACCTACCTATACCGATTACTGTCCAGTGCTTTACGTCTAACCCAATGTGTAGAGCAGGACAGAGTTTGGCAGGTTATATAGTGTATCTGATTTTTTTTTTAATGCCACCATTTAAGACTGTATATAGTGTTGCTGTCGCTTATGCAGAGTCCAGAGTATCTGACACCCACCTGGTCTCACTATTAAGGCTGTCGAAATGAAATTTCCTGGGTTTCTGTTCCAGGTGGAAGAGCCAGCACATTGTAATGGAGATTCATTTCCTTCTGCTGTGGCAAATACAGCACAATTTATTTGAGCAGTTTTAATGGCGTAGTGTTCTGCCATTTTTAATAGCACAAAATCATTAAGCAGATGTAATATACTACTTGTTGTTTCAAGGAGGAATGCCTGCATTTAACACACTGAAAAATGTCACTTTGTAGAGCACTGAATAAAATATGTAATAGTGTGCAGCAAGGAATAGGAGTGTGGGGTGGGGGTGTTGCAACAGTCCCCTGGTTTTGAGCATCCCAGTCACATGTCTCTGGGTTTTCAGCCGCCGGCTCCATGTCTCTGTCGCGTAGGGGCCTGGCTTGGGGCCTGCTGTTACCCAGGGACTCCACTTCCAGCCCAGGGCTCTGCTCAGCTGCCATCTACCTGTACAAGGGCTAGTTCACTGGCCCTGGCTCCGACTTAGCTGCTGTCTCCATGCACAAGGCTTCAGATGCCAGCCCTGGATCCCACTCAGTTGCTGGAGTCCTGACTGCCAGACTCAACTCTAAGGGGAGAGGGTGCAGACCAAGGTAAAGGGGGAATGCAACTCAACACCTCCTCTCCAGAAACTGTTTCCATGCTGCTGGTTAGGAATGAGTTAGAAGCCAAAAGTAGCATTATCTTGCACTGTCGCTAAAGGTAACTCTCACAGCCTGCTGCTTGTTATGTGCACATTTTTGTTCACTGAGCTTGCAAGAGTCTTCAGGATTTTCAAAGTACGAATAAAAGATCCTCTGAAAAAAGGGTTTATTTTCTGGAGAATCACGTCTAGACTGGCGATTTTCTCTGGCTTATCCCCAAGCCGGAAAAAAGCGGCAGCCATGTAAATGCCAATGCCGCGGGGGATATTTAAATCCCCCGTGGATTTGCAATTCCAAATTGTCTAATCTGCATCCCTTTTCCGGAAAAGGGGTACAGTGTAGACACAGCCAAAATGTTTAGTCTGTAACCAATGGTTCAAGTTCCTCCCCATCTCTCATCCACTATACCTTCCACCTTTCCCAGTCCACGGATATGGACTGCACAGTGGGCTATAGGCCCCCTCCCCAGCATTGCACTTGCACTCCAGCCTCCCTGCTGCCCTATCATGGGGCTGGAACACATAATATCTATTAGGCTGGGCCCCCCAGGCTCTGATGTGTGAGGGGAAGGTGGTGAGTGTCTTTCTCCTCAATAGGGGGCCATATCAGTGATATTTTGGGGTGGCTTTTTTTTTTTACTTCTCAACTTGTGTGTGGCCCCCGACTGACTTTTTTGTGTATCAGCAGCCCCCGCCCTAAAAAGGTTCCCCACTCCTGCTCTACATGGTACATAAGGTGAACTCTATCCTGCTTCAGATAAGCACTCTCAGATTTTATGAGAGTTGAGCAGTTGCATGCAGAATTCTATCCCCTCAATCTCTATTAAAATCAGTGGGAATTACATATGTATGTTTATAATGCCTAGCACAATCATGTGCTGGTGCATAATACATAAGTGCTTCAGGCTCAGGCTTTTAGGCTGTGTCTACATTGGCATCCCTTTCCGGAAAAGGGATGCTAATGAGACACTTCGGAATTGCAAATTAGGGATCAGTAGCAATAAGGGAAATTCCAGAAAAGGGCTCATTTTCCGGAGAATCACGTCTACACTGGCGCTTTTCTCCGGCAAAAACCCCGAGCCAGAAAAAAGCGGCAGCCATGTAAATGCAAATTCCGCGGGGGATTTAAATTCAGAAGTGTCTAATCTGCATCCCTTTTCTGGAAAAGGGGTGCAGTGTAGACACAGCCCGGCTGTGTCTACGTACGAATAAAAGATCCTCTGAAAAAAGGGTTTATTTTCCAGAGAATCACGTCTAGACTGGCGCTTTTCTCCGGCTTATCCCCAAGCCGGAAAAAAGCGGCAGCCATGTAAATGCAAATGCCGCAGGGGATATTTAAATCCCCCGCGGATTTGCAATTGCAATGTGTCTCATTAGCTTCCCTTTTCCGGAAAGGGATGCCAGTGTAGACACAGCCTATATGTTTAACCCTTTGTCTGATTGACTCCCTTGGCATTCTCTCAGCTTATTAACGAGACTGTGATTTATTTAATGGTGAGATTTTTGGTTAATTACTTAAGTTCCAAAGTAGATTAATTTCTGTTTCTTCATCAGCCTAGTTAAAGAACAGATTAGTGAGGTTTTAATTGATAACGCATCATGGACCAATCCTCTGACATTAATAGGAAGAGTAATTTGATCTAGTCTACAGCTCTAACCAGACTGATGTAGGAGTCGTGTTCCTATATATGCCTACATAGCTGTCAGTTGAAATCCCTGTCCTTACATTTGATTTTCCTGTATTTTCATTACAGCAGAACGAGATATCAGCGTCTACTGCGGAGTACAGGCAATTACTATGAAGATTAATTTTTGCACAGTTCTTTTTTCTGGTTATTCTGAAACGGATTTAGCCCTAAATGGGAGGCATGGGGATGCTCATTGCAAGGGGTTTATAAATAACAATACCTTTCCAGCAGTGGTGATCTTCATCATCAATCTCAGCACTCTGGAATCCTGTGGCAGCACTTTAGTGGTAAGGCAAGACTGCTGTCAGCTTGTACAATGGCTTGTTGTGCATGAACTAGTGTGTGTGTGTGGTTGCACTAGCATTGTATCACTTACAAAAATCATTGACATGATTTTATATAGTTTCTAAAATAGCTCACCATACATACATTTTCTTTTTTTAAAAAAATGGATATTTCATTGATTTTTGAGTGTTAATAAAAAGCCCAGGACTAGGACATAGTGGTAGAAAACAACTTTATCCTTATTAAAGTGGGTTGGGGAATTTTCCATCAAAAGGATTATTTCACATGAAGATCCCTGTCTGAAGTACATTTCTCATGGTGCAACACAATCTGCCGCCTGAGCAGCCTGGTGCACTCTGGGAGTAACGCGTCCGCAGGTGCACTATGGGAGATGTAATCAGACCAGGAATTCTGACCCTCAGTGGAGAATCCAGACATCAGGTTTTAGAACTACAGCTCCCATGAGGCAATGTCCCATCATTGGGAAATTCTGTGTAATGCTGATTTGACCTGAAACAAAATGCTATGACATTCCTGAATAAAATTATTTTAGAACTTCACATTCTTCAAGAAATTTCAATATTTGTTTTTTTTCCCCCATCTGATTTCAGGAAAAAAAAAAACCATTGAAGTTTCCCACAGGAAAATTCAGAACCCACTAAGCTCTGAATCTTATTAATATATTGTGAGTGTATGTACCACAGCTTCTGCTGGGTGGTGTAAGAACTGCTCAAATGTCTGATGTCCTAGGTCCTGACTTCCCCTTTAGCTGGGAGGTGCCCAACCTCCTTCTGCCACAGGCCTCACACTCATTCAACCCTTTCCCCAAGCCCTGCCCCTGACTCCTTCTGTCCTACCCTGCCCCGCCCCCATTCCACCCCTTCTCTTAAGTCCCTATCCCTGCCCTGCACCTTCCCCACCTCCTCCCCAGAGCATGCCCTGTCCCTGCTCCTTCCCCTCCCTCTTGGAGCTTCCTGAATGCTGTAAATCAGCTGTTTGTAGCACTCCGGAAGTGCTGGGAGGACCTGGTCAGTATGGCCACCAGAGGGCACAAGGTACAGGGTGGGGCGAGGTGAGGCACAGGGTGAGAACTTGGCTGCTGGTAGATGCTAAGCATCCACTAATTTTCCCCCAGGCTTGCATCACCCATGAAGTTGACACCTATGTCTGAATTATGTTGCTTAGTAGTGATTTTGTCAGCAGCATGATAGAAGCCTTAAAAGTGCTAACAACTAGTTGATCATCGTTTTTAGCTGAAGGTGAAATTCTTGTGTTTCTAGAGTTAAACATCTCAGACTTTATGTGCTGTGCAGCATAAATGACAGCTATGATATCCTGCTGGGTGCAGAGAGCCACAGATTTATATATCCAAATCATCACTTTAGGCAAGATTCTGGTACCTTTCTTTTCATCGCCCTATCATTTAATTAACTTAAACGGTATCACTCTTCATTTACACTAATGTGAATGAGAGCAGAATTAGGCCCTTGCTCTTCTAAAGTATGGTGTCCAACAATGCTTTGATCTGTGCGTCAAGCCCAGATTTTAGGTCAGAATTTCCTTTAACTCACTAAGAACTGTTGTTCGTCTTTTTACCATATGCAGGATCTCTGTAGTATGCTTTCAGATGTAAGATGGAAATTTCTGACAAACACATGGGAAGTTTGAGTCACTGACAACTCCAAAATGCATATTATATAATTTACAAAAGAAGGACAACTTAATATTTTGTAGAGCCCACATTTCTAGTCGGAGTTTCTATTACACATTCCTCTTTTCAGTTGTTTATACATTTTCCAAAGTGTTCAGTTTGCACTTTCTTTATGCATTCTCTGTCTCGGGTTGAGCTTTCTTTTTAAAGGTTCAGGAAAAATAGTTTCATTGTTTCCAAGGATAAGGTTATGAAAATGAGTAGTTTTGCCAATGCTCAAACCTCCCTAAGCTAAGTAGCCTTTTTATTTTTAAAATATTTTTTCATTTTATACTGTATTTTTATTTATATATATATGTGTGTGTGTGTGTGTGTGTGTGTGTGTTTAAAATTATATCTATATCAATAATTTGTATTAATATTTTATTTATATCTAATTATTTTTTAAACACCATAGTTTGGAGCAAGGGCTTACAATTTGGCAGATAGCTGTAAGGTCAGACAGACTTCTTTTGCTCTCCCCATGAAAACTACCCTCGTTTGGAAAAAGTATAAGTCCAGAAAATAGCCATTTTCTCATGTTCATAGAAATTTGCTGTTAAACTATCTAGCCATTCTGGCTATTCTGTGCACACTCTCATTCCCTCGGAGCTACCTCTATAGCAAATTCTCTGAACATGTGCTTCCTCTGGGTATTCATGCAAAGTTGAGCCAGCAACCCACCACTGTCAACTCCTTTGGTTTAGGATTACTGAGCTGATAGTCAAGAGGCAACCATGAATACGGACTTCAGCTCTTCCTTTCACAGGTATTAATAATACCACATAATCCTTATTACTAAGCAAGATTCAGACCTTTGCTCAGGGCAGTCCCTAGGGGGCTGCAGGCCTGGGGCAACCCCTACCTTCTGTTGTAGCCATGGGGCTCAGGGCAACCCCCCCGCCACAGGCCCTGCTCTCACCTAGCCTCTGCTCTATCCATTTGCCACAAGACCTCCTCCCCGAGCAAGCCGGGGGATTACCGATGGCCTGGCACAGGATGGCAGCAGGAGTTGCCCCCTCCTCCTCACCATGCTGGTGGGAGCTGGAGCTGGAGCGACCTGGCAGTCTGCTCTGCTCCGCTCTGCCGCCCATTTCTTAGCTTGTTGCTTTCTGCTTCACCATAGCAGTGGGAAGCAGAGTTGGCCGTGGAACAGAGTAGGCATCTAGGTCATGCTGGCTACAGCTGGCATGCTGAGTTCAGGGTGGGGCACACCCTGGGTGGGGCTGCCCTGCACCAGACCTTGTGGATTGTGTCCATAGGATGTTTGAGGCAGCGACTGTGGGGTCACCCCAAGCACAGGGACTTGGGGCAGCCTCCTCAAACTAGCCTATTGTAGTGTGGCTCTGCCTCTACTTCATGAAAGAGGCAGGTATCCCTTTCAGATGGAGTAATTAAATGTGATACTTTTGGATGGGCTGGGGCTAGAATACAGGACTCTAATGTGGTACACTCCAGTGATGCCCTCTTACTCACTCCAGTGTTGAGAATTAATGTGCTACATTTTTGTGCTAGGCTGTAATGTCTAGACCACACCCTCTTCTCCAGAACCAGGAACAAAACTCAGGGGTCTGGATTCCCAGCTCTCCTTTGGCTGTCTATCAAATAGTTAGGTACACCATTGCAAAGTGTACAGGATATAACAGCCTGCTACTGTTACAAAGTTTTCCTTTAGTTCAGAAAATCAATAAGTGCTGGGAATCTGAAGGTCTGGGGTTCAAACCCTGATGAACTACTTAGCTATGCAGAGGGCAGTGTGGTTTGACATGGCACATTTTTGTGTTTTCAGATTTTCTTTTTAAAAATACAGGCCATTCTATACAACAACTTCATGAAAACTGTCAAATCAAGCAACAAGTTGGAAATGCCACAGTTAATTTCATGCTTGACAAGACACTCTTTAATTATGTATTCATGGAACAGTTTCTTCACATGATCACTAACTCACTTAGTACACGGATGTATGGTGGATGAAGCAGAGGTTTACAGGAAGAGAAAGGATGTTCACTTGTGTTTTGAATTCAGTGGCTGGGGACCCAGGAGAGCTAGGTCCTATTTCTGTGTCCACTACATATTTACATGAGGTTGAACAAAGCAGAAGTAATTCCAACATGCAAAGGGATTCAATTAAGGTTACATGGGCAACCTTTATCATGGCATTGTCTAAATATCGAGTGCTTGGATTTGCAGCATTGGCATTCTTTTAAATTATTTTTTTTGTGTGTAATTTATCGTACATAGATATGTATTGTTGTACAGACAGACTTAAGCATTGACCAGATATTAAATTGGTTGGCTTGCATTGCTTTACTGTCTCATTAAATCACTTTTAAAACCACTACAATACTCACACTTCCATCATCTGTTACGTGATTTGAAAAAATTCACAAGCCAACATGCCAGTACAGATTGAACCTCACTAGTCAGGCATCCTGTGTTTTTAAAAAGAAAAATCGAAAAAACAAAAATGTGCCATGTCAAACGTGACCAGTGCTGAACCAGAGAATTTGATGAACCAGGGGAAGTCAATATTGTCTAGCAGCATTACTAACACTTTCACTGCTTACTGGGCTCTTCGAAGACATTTAGGGGTAAATTAGAGCTAAGTAACAGCACAGAACACTGAGAGCCAGGACTGGTGGCTGTAAACAAACTTTGAGACCATGGGAAACTTGGCCACACCCATTGTAAGTGGCCATCCAACTAACTAAAATCATGCCAGAGCACAGAAGTTGCCAGACCAGAGTGTGCCAGATTACAGAGGATCATGCTGTAATGGTCACGTGTTACTTGTAAAATAACTTTATTTTCAGTTATTAAAGGCTCCAATATTTTGTTGTCATTCAAACCAAATAGAACTGATTCTTCAGCTACCCTAGTGATCCGTGGGAATTAATCAGGAAAGTTCAGAGAAAATGCCCACCTGAAAAATTATTCCAGATCTGTGTTTCGGTGCTACAGTGAGCCACATTTTGCATTCAGTCAAACCCCTGTATTCCCAGTTGACTACAGGTTGTGCAGGTAAAAAAGAAAACAGTATCTGATTTAGTAAGCCCAGTTAATTCCTGGTGTATAGAATGAAGTTACACGAGAGTTGAATTTGGCTGAAAGCATCAATATTTTTCAAAATCTCTCTCTATCTCTCTGTGTCTGTCTCTGTGCTTAATCTTTTGGTATTGTCTTGTTTCCATATATTCCTCAACAGGTATCCTCTGTTCCAGGCATCAATGCCTATGGGAATGTATCTGTGGTACAGATAGGTAATATTTCAGGCTATATAGATACTCCAGATCCACCAACCATCATCAGCTACTTACCAGGACTTCTGTACAAATTTAGTTGTAGCTACCCATTGGAATACTTGGTCAACAATACACAGTTGGCTTCGTAAGTATGCTTTTCATTTTTTTCATTCATTCGTATGTGCAAGGATGAGAGTGTCTGTCTACATGCATGTGCATGCCCCAACATTTATCTCCATACATTTGTGGTCTTCATTAAATTTAAAAAATTTAAAACCAAGATTGTGAGAAGACGTGGCAGGCAGAAAGGGGAGACTGAGAAAAGAAGGAAAGTTTCCTAGAGGATCTGCATGATAAAATTATTTACCAAAAGCTATTCTATTTTGTTGCCTGACTAGGGTAAAAATTTGCTTTCTGAACGCATGTGGTTTTATGCTAGAGTGGTAGCTCCATACACATTTTACATTTCTTATGCCATATATCTTTTGTATGGGGTAATCAATGAATATGTAGTGCATGAAAACACATTTTTCTATGAGCAGACGCCATACATCACGGAGAACTTGTTCTTTTGTGCCATTTTGCCTTTCTGCTAATTATTCGCCCGATTCATGTTTAATAGCATCCATTACTTCCATATAGTTAAGGCCCTGTCATTATCTCCACTAAAATTTCCTATTTTCAGAGGCTTCTAACATAAACCTAAAAAAAAAATTCCCTCCTTATCATGCATTTCAAGAACTAATTAGGAGTAAAGCAACATTGAAATAGGAAAGCACGAGCAAAAACAAACAAATAATAAAATCCCTTGAGCCCTTCTATAATTTTTTGGTTTCAAATTCTGTTTTAGGTCATCAGCTGCTATTTCTGTAAGAGAAAACAATGGGACATTTATCAGCACTCTGAGTTTATTGCTTTACAATGTAAGTATAAAATTAGTATACAAATTATATGTAATATTCTCTGAAGTTCATGGGTGCAGTTCTCATTGACAGACTAGAATTAGGCTCCTTATGTGCTCATTATGCTGTTTTCCCCATGAGGGAAACAAGCCTTCCATAGAGTTTTCATTCACCTAATTGTTACCCTATGCTTTTCTTTTCTAAAAAAATATACCTTTTGTTTCTCATATTAGAATCTGCCCTGAATGACCTTCCGTATATCTTTTTTTTCTCCTGCGTTTTGTACAGTGCCTAGCATAATGGGGCCCTAATCAACAATTAAGGCATCAAGGTTCTACCACTATACAAATTATAAGGAGTGATGCACTAGCATTCATGCTTACTCCATACTGAACCTGTATATTATATTTATTCTAAATATGATTTTATAACTGTAATAGACAGGAGAAGGGATGACCAGCACTCAGTGACTAAGGGTTTGTACTCAGGTATCTAGCAAAGGTGTTGGCCCGGGGCCAAGGGAACCAATTGAGATAGACTATTGAAATTTGAATTGTGTAAGATTCCCTGCCTGCTTTCTTTGTGTGGGAGAGAAAAACCAGAAGTTGACACACAGAATGATTTAAACCCAGGCAGGACTACCATGTCTCCAGGGAATTTGGGTCATGGGAGTGGTCTGAACAAAGAGAAAATTGGAAGTAAGTAAAGGGAAAAGTGAATCTAGTCACACTCAGGGTGATATTTCTTTATTTTGTGGTTTGGTTTGAATTGCTCTCTGTGAATCTATGCCTCTCCTCCCCATTTACCATCTAGCACTGTTCCCAGAGACTTTTCTCTGTGTTTTAATTTGTTTCCCTTAGTTGCTCTGCAACATCTAGCAGCCAAGTATGCTTTATCAAGTTACCTTTTGTATTGTAATAAAAAAAATCACTTTTTAAGGTGTTTTTTTAAAATGTTTGTGTCCAGCAAGATCTGTCTGTGTGTATCTGCATGTCTCAGACTGAGAGGTCAGCTACTAGAGATTGCAGCTTGTTTTCCTCTTTTCTTTTTTCAAGCTCGTTTATGGCAAAAGTGGGTTCAAGTGTTTTATCCTTGTTTTTTAGAGATAAAAATCACTTGATGGTGGCCTCAATTCCTCAGATCTGTGGGTTGTGATTCTCGGGGAGAGTTTTTGTAACCAGAGCAGTTCAAACCAAACCACAAAATAAAGAAAAATTACCCAGAACGTGACTAGATTCACTTTTCCCTTTACTTACTTCCAGTTTTCTTTGTTCAGTCCACTCCCATGCCCCAAATTCCTTGGAGACATGGTAGTCCTGCCTGGGTTTAAATCATTCTGTGTCTCTCAACTGCTGATTTTTCTCTTCCACACAAAGAAAGCAGGCAGGGAATCTTCATACAATTCACATTTCAACACTCTATCTCAATTGGTTCCCCCGGCCAATACCTTTGCTAGCTATCTGAGTACAACCCCTTTAGTCACCGAGTGCTGGTCAGCCCTCCTCCTATCTATTATATCAACAATGTTGATACGTTAAATTTTTCACAAGCACATATAGAGTCAAGAGTTGTCTAGGTATATTGACCATTTTAAGTAAGAGTGAAGTATGCAGGATTTAGCCCCAATCTATACATCCATACAGATGCTTTATTGCACATACTGTGTGGGTTATTGTCAATAACAGCTTTTGGCTGCTGATACTTCGTTCATACTTTTTCTGATAATTGGGTTTGAATACACATGACTGTATTAAACTTTTATTATGTAAATATGGAAAACAGTAAAATGTAAAAAAATATATGGACTTCTATTTATAACTGCAACATTAATCTCTGAAATATTTTTGGTTGATTAAAATTTGTATTTATACATTTTAAATACCTGATTTAAATATCAATTTTTCAATCTATCAAGCAACATTTTTGTAAATTATGAATTTGATTTTTTTTGCTTTATTATTCATGTCATCGTGATGCTGAGTTATAATTCATGCAACTGATTTAAAAGTCAGCGCTTTTTTCTTAGAACATAATGAGCTATAAATATTGTAACAGGACATTTTCCAAAGGCATTTTTTAAAAAATTCATGTAAGTAAGTTTGTCATTTGGCAGAGCAGAGGTCTTAAAAACAGATTAAACTGTGTTAGAATGAAGATTATATTTATTCCATTTTTAAATAAATTTGTGGCCAAAAGAGGAGACACACAAATCCCTCAAAACTATAGGAAATGAATACTGGGTTGGAAGACCCAGTCACAGTTTCTGCAGTGAGAGAATGATAAAATAAATTAATATCCTACTGGGACTTGCCCCCACATGAAGTTCTTGGTCTTGAGGAGCCTGGCCCTGAACAACTGAAGTTAATGGGAGTAAAATCAAATTCCAGGTATTCAAGTTACTAAGAATGAAATCATTGGTTTTGACTCTGAGTGCTAGTCCTGTGAGATGCTCCTAGAAGAAGTACTACAACTCACAGAAACATGAAAAAAGCAGCCAAACACAAAGCATTTAGATCCTCTTTTAGTCGTTGTAATTATTTTAGGCACAGTACATTTTACTTCTGCTAAAGGCCAAAATAGACATTTAAAGCCATATTTAAGCATCTAACCATTCTGCTTGTCAAATATGTTGTGCATTTTTAACATGCACAGGCTTTGACTGTGAAAATCAAACCACTCTTTTAGGTGCCCAAATTGGGGGTATATCTACACTGCAGAGTTTTTTAGGAAAAAATGTCAGTTTTTCCGAAAAAACTTCACTTACGTTCACACTGCAATCGTGTTCTTTTGAAAGAAAATTGAAAGAACAGAGGGGTTTTCCCGACACTGGTAAACCTCTTTCTACAAGGAAGAAGCCTTTTTCTGAAAGAGCTCTTTCAGAAAAAGGCGTGTGAGGACGGGGAAGAGGGAGTTGCTTTGAAAGAAGAGGAAAAAGGAAAAAGCACAGGTACCCTGGTGGCCACTCTGTCCATAGTAATCACAGCTTAAATGTGAGAGTGTCCACACTGAATGGACGCTCTCTTTTGACATAGCAGATGGCTTTTTTGATGTGCTTTTGCTGTGTAGACATTCTCTTTTGGAAGAAGTTTTTTCAGAAGATCTCTTCTGAAAGAAATCTGCAGTCTAGACATAGCCAAGGATGTAGGTGCTGAAGTTCTGTTACCTGTGTTTGAACCCCTTAGACTACGTCTAGACTGCAGGTTTCTTTTGGAAGAAGGTTTTCCGGAAGAGATCTTCCAGAAAAAAGTCTTTCTATGTAGCCAGGAACTGAGTTAGCTTTGCTTTAATTAGCTTGCTAAAAATAGCATGGTTGTCATGGCAGTGCAGGCAGTCCCAAAAGGTAGTTGTTCAAGTACTATCCCTTCATAGTCCCTGGGTAAAGATGTAGTCCAGTGGTTTCCAACCTTTTCAAGCATATGGATGTCTTTTCAATCTATTAAAATTTCACAGATGTCCTCCCCCCTCCCTTCACCTCACCTCCCCTGGAGTAGAAAAAAAAAAAAGGAAAAGAAAAGTAAGGATCGGGCTCACAGCGGTGGGCCCGATCCTCATTTTTAAACTTTCCACGGACCCACTGCAGTACCGTCGTGGACCACCAGGGGTCCACAGAACACAGGTTGGGAACCACTGATATAGTCTGTGCTGCAGCAGCTATTTTTGGCAATATAATTTGATCAAAGTTAGCTTGTTGCAGTGTCCCCTCTCAATTGCTATTGGCTTAGGCTGAGATTTTCAAAGCAGTCTGAAGATAGGTCTTATACTGTGATCTATAGAAATTGTTCTAAAAACATGTAGAATTTAATAAGACTAAGATCTTTTCTACAGATTCTTTTAGCAACCTACAGAATTTAACAGAGAAGTATACACCTGCTACCAAATTCTACCATTTGGTTTCAACAGTCTATAGCCAGTTTTAGCTCTTTTTTTTTTAATTCTAAAGGATGCTTCCATAGGGATATATAGGAAGTTACAAATTTCATATTTCATTACATTAGAAATATTACATGCTTTGTACATGTAATTTTAAGTTTGTCAGACTTGTTGGTGTTTATCTGCCATGCAAATATGATTTTATTATGACACTTTTGCACGGCAGGACTTTGAAAATGCAGACTGAGCCTTGGATGTCTTCATCTTTCACTAGCAGCCTTTTTCCCATATGGTGAACCTCTCCCAAGCTCCCCTCTTTTTAATGCTCATCTGCAGTATATTAAATAATGTTCCCCTAAATGCATTTTGTATTGTTGAACTGTGTCTGTGTGAACGGTATTCACTGCAGCTCCTGGAAACCCTGACTGGTAGGCCCTTTGTGAATTTAGCAGCACATACAAACCACCAGGAAATGTCTTCCAGGTGATTTCATTTGCTTATACATAGTAGCAGTTATATGGGGTCACCTTCCTGCTCCAAAGCTCAGCTGTTCGCACTGCTTGCTTTCTTCTCAGCCTAATCAACTCCTCAGGCTCCCTCCAGATGCAAGAGATCTCTCTTACCCTTCTAAGCCCAACTAACCAAGGCCCTTCTAGCTATATCCAGTGCCCGGGGTTGTTCTATGTGACCAGAGTGCTGGGCTTCCAAAGAGCTCAGTTTATAATTGCTCAGAGCACGCTCTCATGGTCTGATACTGCATATTCATTTTACAATATTGTATAAGCCATGATTCTCTGTTGTTCTGTACACACACCTACACTGTTCTGGTAATGGAGCTTTTGAAAGGAGGTCGTGTTTTAAATATAATCTTCGTTTATTTGTTACTGAACACTTCATTTTCCACTAAAGGTCAGTGGTGGGGTTGCACTTTTAGCAGTGGAGATTGCTGAAAACCAGCCTCCTCACTCCTGTTCGCCTCTCTTCCCCTGAGCTGGGAGCACAGATGGACATGGAATCAGGAACAGAGCCAGCAGCTGAGACCTAGGGCGTGGGGGACAGCAGCCAACCAGCTTTGACATGGATCGGGGTCAAAAACCTGAGGTGTATAACAGCACCTCCCACATCCCTACTTCCCATGCCTATTCTAAAGCTGCATTGTGAGGAGCAAAACGTCCGTTCTAATCATCTGAAGGCAAACCTTGAGCTGTGTGTGAAATTTGATAGCACTGCTGACCAAAAAAGTTTTTGTGTTCCAAGGTGCTGGTATAGCCGTTGTGTTATGGCAAATGTGTGCTTTGTTTTTTCAGGACTCAACCTACAGCCAGCTGCTGGTTATCCCCAGTATAGGTTTACCTCTGAAAACAAAAATATATGCAGCTGTGAGAGCAACCAACCTTGATGGCAGGTACAGTAAAGGATGCTGTTTAAATATTCCAGAATAGCGAGGAGTAACTACTAGTATCCCCCTGGGGTCTGTACCAGGACCAATCCTGTTCCACATATTTATAAATAATTTGGAAAAAGGGATAATCAAATGAGGTGACAATTTTCAGACGATATGAAACTACTCAAGATAATTAAGTCTAAAGTGGACTACAGAGAGTTACAAAAGGTTCTTGCAAAAGTGGGTGACTGGTCAACAAAATGGCAGATAAAACTCGATGTTGTTAAATGCACAATAGTGCGTATCGTAAAACATTATCTTAACTACACATACAAAATGAAGGTGTCTAAATTACTTGTTACCACTAGAGAAAAGATCTTGGAGTCATTGTGGATAGTTCTCTGAAAACATCCACTCCATGTGAAGTGGCAGTCAAAAAGTTAACCGAATGTTGTTAATCATTATGAAAGGGGTAGATAAGACAGAAAATATAATGCCTCTATATAAATCCATGGGATGCTCACATCTTGAATAAGGTATGCAGATGTGGTCATCACATCTCACACACTCACAAAAAATCTATTGGCACTGGAAAAGGTACAGAAAAGGGCAATAAAAACTATTAGGGATGTGGATCAGTTTCTATATGGGGAGAGATTAAAAAGGAGTGGGACTTTTCAACTTGGGAAAGAGGCAACAAAAGAGGGTTATGATCAAGGTCCGTAAAATCATGACAGATATAGACAAAACGGATAAAGAAGTTCTGTTTACCCTTTCTCATAACAAATGAACTGGTGAGGGGGGTATGTGTCACACAATGAAATTAATAAGCAGCAGGCTTAAAACAAACAGAAGGCAGTATTTCTTCGCACAATACACAATCAACCTGTAGAACTCCTTGCCTGAGAATGTTGTGGAGGCTGAGAATATAGCAGGTTAAAAAAAAAGAACTGCATTAAGCTCATGGGGGATATGCCGATCAATGGCTATTAGTCTAGATGGGCAGGGATGGTGTCCCTAGTTTCTGTTTGCGAGAACTTGGGAGTGGGTGACAGGGTGGATCACTTGGCAATTACCTGAAGCATCTGCCATTGGTCACTGTCAGAAGACCGTATACTGGGCTAGAGCTGTGGTCTGATTCGTTGTGGCTGTTCTTTTGTTCTTATGAGGATGTGCCTCTTGTCCAATGCTGCCATGAAATTCTAAGAGGAGCAAAGTGATACCCATCAGTCTGGTATGTGGCCACTGATTTGTACCAGCTGCTTTACTGTGGAACAGATGGGTATAAAAACATGTAGGTTGAACTGTATCATCCATAAACCATGGAATACACTATTCAGTAATGTAAGCAATGCAGAAAAATGAAAACCATTAGGCTGATATAGAATGGTCTCCGTGAGAATGCAGGGATTCTATACATGGCCCATTCTATACATGGCTCATAATTGTGCATAACTGTGTAGGTTCAATTCATCAGCTAGTACTATCAACTTGTACCTCCGTTATTTTAAATCTTTTTGCCTGACAATTATGTTGCTCCTCATGCAGATGGAATGTTTTGATGGACTATTGTTACACCACTCCATCTGGTAATCCCAATGATGAGCTCCGATACGATCTCTTCCTTAGGTAGGTACTTTGCAAATCCAGCATTTGTATGCAAATGCCCTCCTTTTAAGACTGCAATTATGAGTCTCTGTATGATAGTGCAATGCTTACATTTCTTGATGGGCATGAGGGTTTTAAGGAAGGTCCAAAGTCTATGCATGTAAACACTTTAGTTACTTACCCAATATTTGTATCCACAAATAGGTAGGTAAGTGTGCATAGTCATGAAAATTGTGTGCAGCAGTATAGGTATAGAAATTGGTATTTTGCACGCGCATAATAAGGGTCCTTTATACTCACATTTCAATGGATAGATATTTGTTAACATGCATTTTAATGCAAGAAAGTGGGAGAATGCCCTATAGGCAGATAATCATCTGAAATGTCTAAGGGGTTGATTCAGGAAACTGCTTAAGCACAAGCTTAAGTGCTATTATGAATGAGAATGGTTTTCTGAACTGGGGTCTTAAAAGAGCTAGCAAACAGCAACTTGGTGTCTCAGCAACACCTCCGATGAAATCCTATCAGGGGCTCTTGATGGAGCTGCTTCCTCCTGTCAGAGGTGCTTAGCTACTGGATAACATCTTGTTTCAGGTTTCATAATTATTTGGGGGATTTGAATTCAATGGAACCTGGATCTGAACTACCTTAATTTTGTAACATCAAAACCAAAATACACAGTTTAGGTTTTGTGTAGCCAAGAGTATCTTGATTTGGTGGGTTTGCATAGCTTTTAGCACCTTATTTGAAATCAAGAACACTTTCTAAGGCTCTGAGGGTACGGGTAGACTGCGGGGGAGTTTTGGGGGGTTTTGGGATACCAGAGGTATCCTGAAAAATCTCTGCCATGTCCAGGGAATGTGTTTGCTCTTGCTTTTTTTTTGCGGAAGAGAAAATGTGCTCTTTTGGAAGCCCCTGTATTCCTCGTTTTACGAGGATGAAGGAGGCTTCCAAAAGATGGTTTTTACCCCACATTTGTCCCATTCTAGATGGGCCAAATGTAGGAAAAGCCTCTTCCAACAAAAGAATCAGGAAAAAGGTACGCAAAATGTGGAGTGCGCATGCGCATTCGTTCTCTCTCACTCACTCACTCACTCACACACACACACACACACACACACACACACACACACACACACACACACACACAATGGCTTCCTTTCGGACCTCTTTGGCAATGGCTTTTCTTCCTGATATAGCATTCCTTTCAGCAGCAACCAACAGCTATCTTCTTTCTTGGCCCAGGGCTTCTCTCCCCCCCCCCCCGCCCTCCCGGCCTTCTCAGGTGACTGGGTTCATGGTCTCCTCCTAGGGAGGCAGGCCATAGCTGGCACTGGTCCAGCTGAGCTCTAAACCCTCTTAAAGGGCCAGGTCAGAGTGATAGAGTCTCTTAGACATACAATATGAAGCAGAATTGATTTCCAATGCTCAGTATTTTTGGGTACCTATCTGCATTAGTTAAGAATGCATCAGCATTAGAGACAAAATGCAACAAAGACAAAATGGTGCTCTGGCATAACTCCCACTAATGTGAAGGGCATATACAGTACAGGATCAGGGCTAGTTATCTCAAATCCCATGTGTTCCTGATAGTCTAAGATAGGGGTGGGGAACTGTTTTTGGTTCAGGGCCACTGATTCACAGAAAAATCAATCAGGGGCTGCACACAAGAAGCAAACAAACAAAACAAAATCTCACTGATGTGAACCCCGACTAAGAAGGAGAAAGACACTCCCCACATTCCCATCACACATCAGAGCCTAAGGGGGCCCAGCCTAGTAGATTTGTTCCAGCCTTACTGATGGGTGGCGGGGACTCTAGAGCCAGGGCATGTTCCCCAATGCTGAGGGGGAACCTGGAGCTCTGGGGGGCCAGATCCAGGCAAGCCGGGGGTCTCATCTGGCCCCTGGGCCTTAGGTTCCCCACCCTGGCCTAAGGCAAGTGACTTGCCTTAAGAAAATATCAGACATATTACATTCTTGAACACAGATCCTTTTTTAATGTTTGTAAGAGTAATTCTGACACTGAGCATTTTGTCCACTGTCTTTCTCTGCCTTTCTGTGCAGGGATCACTGACCTACTATAGCACGCATGAGTCTCTAATAGCTGCCCATTTTGGATGTCATGGTGCTGCCTTGGTTTTTTCCCCATACATCTTAAGCATTGATCTTGCTACTTGTAAACCCTTATTCTCAGGGGCTAAAAATCAGAGGGACACATGGTCATCTCAGTTTTAATCTTTTATACTAATTAGCTGCGACAAGGACCCACAGACCACTGTAATTGAGAATGGCAAGAGCCAGATGGGCCGGTTTTCCTTTGAGGTGTTCCGCTTTGTGAAGCATAAGAACCAGAAGATGTCTACAGTCTTCCTCCATTGTGTGACAAAGCTGTGCAGAACAGATGACTGCCCCTTTCTTGCACCTGTAAGTTTTGAGGGGGATCTGTCAATAACATTCATAAATCTGTGCTGTGCCAGAGGCAGAATTGTGGGCAATGATACGTCTGTAATTTGCAGATGGCTAGCAGAGGTGGAGGGCATCTGGGTTGTGCAGACAGTACCTAGACAGTACCTAGAGTTTGAACTTGTCATCTGTCTCTAGAGAATGAGAACACAACAAATGAAGGGTGACATTTCAATCTCAGCAGTATTGTGTGAATTAACACTTGGAACTGTAAACCTCAGGGGAATGAAACTTGGTAAGGGAAATGTTCACTCTTAGGTCTCTGGTCAAATCATGCCTAGGATGATAGAGTTCAAAGGTGATCATGGTCGGAAAACCATTCAGAGAGTGTATGAAAAATGAGACAGTGGTCTCAGTTCACCTCCTAGGGCTTGTCTAGACTACACCGAAGTTCCGAAAGAGGATATGCAAATTCTGATCTCACTTTCAGAAAAATTAGGTTTACGTGGCTTTTTGAAAAAGGGAGGTGCCGAAAAAATGTATTCCAACTACTTTCACTTTCGAAAGCTCCACTTTCAAAAGTGAGATTGGAAGAAATATGCAAATTTCCACAGAATTTGCATATCCTCTTTCGGAACTTCGGCATAGTCTAGAAGAGCCCCTAGAAAATAAGGTAGTTTGGAATAATGTCAGTAGAATAATGTCAATAGAAAAATCAAAGATAGTCAATGAGTTTGAGCCTTAGACTGACCTATCCATTCATTTCTAGATGTGGCCTGCAATGGGCCATTGGTGGGGCTCCTCTTACTCCAAGCCTTTGGGAGGCCAGTCTGCCTCACCACAAGTCCCCATAAGACAATGTTGAACATTCATAGGATGTTTTGAGGAAAGTTGCACTATCACTTTCACCTGCTAGACTGATTTAGCAGTAGAGTTGGTGGAAAATATTCTCATAGAACATTTTTTCCAATAGAAAATACCATTTTTTTGAAACTTAAACTTCCTATCAGAACATGTCTATTTTAATGGAATTTTATTTCAGGAAAAAACTGTGAAGGTGAGGAAGGAGGCATTCTGATAAGTGAAAACAGTGCTCAGTTGTACTGAAGTTCTTCCATTTTTAAAAAGGTGCTCTTTGTCTGAAGGATAGGTTGATATATTGGACAGAGCTGTGTAAACCAGAATAAATACCCTTCGATAGAAATGAGTACTCATCATTAAATTACTCATCCAGGAGCAGGTTATATTTTGTCCCCACTGACATTTTTAGAAAGGAATATTTTGATTTTTATTGTTTAGAAAATATTTCATTTATGGTTTTCTTAATAATATAAAAATGATAAAGATGAAATGGAAACAAAATTATGTGATCAAAAGAAAATGTTCTGATGCGATTATTTTTTGAAAAACTTGTGTGGGAAATTTTGAAATTCTGTGCTTTCAGGGCAATTTGGAATTAAAAACATTTTGAAATTGGAAAATTTCCTGTGAAATGGAAATGCCAGTTCCCACACAGCTCAGTCCAGCAGCTTTCATGACCACCTAAAACAGGGGTGTCCAAACTTTTTTCAAAGAGGGCCAGATTTGATGAAGTGAACATGTGTGAGGGCCGACCATTTTGCCTGACATTCTTTGAACCATTAAAATTAAATGCAAATTAAATATTTTATGCAAAGAGCATACTTTTCATTTCGTCACATGGATCACAAATCTAAACAGGTGTTAAATCACTCTGCCTTTCATATCTGAAGGCCAGATGAAAAAAAAAAATCCAGGAAGCTGAAATATATGTCAGGAACATTGTAAAGTACATTACATATTATTGGTAATAAAGGTTGTCTGTCAACTTTTAAGTTCAAAAAATATGAACAGGAACATAACACCAAGTATACATGTTGTGTCCAAATATATTTATAACTGATTTAGACCAACTGACTTTAACTGAGATTTTACAATGTATTCATCTCAATACATATGGATTCATTGGGGGCCATAAAAGATAGATATTGCCAAATTACCCGGCGAAATTACCCGGGGGGCCGTATTAAACCGGAACACGGGCTGCAATTGGCCCACGGGCCGGACTTTGGACATGCCTGCCCTAAAATGTTTGAAAGAAAAAACATACTAGAATTTACTCATGTAAGCCCCATTCAGCAAATAACTTAAAATATGATGTTTATGTTAGTGTTTTAGAATGCTCTTTGCTGAATTAGGGCCTGAAATATAAAATATGAAAAGATAGTCAAGTTAGATTTTTTTTTTAAGGTCTCAGCATGGTTTGCATACCTAAGGTATGTGTGGCCATGGTGAATGGCCAGTTAAAGATGGATCACAGACAATACAATGTCAGACTATTCTAATATAAAAACTGATGATAAAGTCAGCTACATGATATTCTGAAGAGCTATTCAGAATATGACTGACGCAACACAGATGCCCCCCTTTTTTTTTAATGAAAAGGATTTGAAAGAATCTCAATGTCATATCTTTTATGTTCCTAGTCTAGCACATACACACTGGCAGGTACAGGTGGCTCTGAACAAAGCTTGAGTAAATTAATTACTGAAAAATTTATTATACTGTAATATTGATACTGTACATGAGAACAGGGCAGTTTCATAAATGAAATGAGGTGAAATACAATTGGAAGCCAATCATTTATAACATACAGGGGACATTGCATCTGCTTTTATTGCCAAGTAAATGAGTGCTTCCAAGAAATAAAGCTCTAATATCACTTTTAAAAGAGCTGGCATTAAACATGGAAGCTCAGGAAGGCAATAATTCTTCTCCACTCTGAAACTGTGATTGTTTTGATTAATTGCTCAGATTTGCAGTAACAGAGAAAGAAGAGCTGCTGTTAGGAGAACAACCTGGAATGCTCAGAGCACCTCTGGAAATGCTGTAATCTCCGCTGGCCCCATCATTACAAGGAGCGGTAGGAATGATCAAAACTTTCTCTATATTGCAGGAATTTCAAAAACATGAGGAAATATTTTGCTGTTTAAAAAGCATTTCAGTGACTCAAAACAACCGTTTGCTTATTTGGGCCTGTTCCTACTGTTAGAGTAAACTTTCACGTAAAAGTTCTAAGCCAATTTTAGTGACCAGATACGCACTCAAAACACTCAGGGCTTGTTTACATTACAGAGAAGACCGAAGCTGCCGCAATCAATTTTCTAGGGTTTGAATTAGTTGGTCTAGGGAAGACACTTTCTCCTTTTGTGTAGACCAGGCCCTTGTGAAGTCATTATGGCTTATGTGCACATATCCAAGATGGGCATAAACACCCACACTCAATAGGCTAAATTCTCATTTGTCATACAGCTGCAGCTTCCATTGAAGGTGGAAGAAAAAACCGAGCCTGACTAATTTTGCTTAAAATCAGAGATCAACAGGAGAAAGCCACACATTAAGGAAAAAAATTAGAAGATAATGAACACCTCCTCTAATATTGACTATCTCTTCTGATGCCTCCTTCTTGTTAGGGTATGTCTACTCTGCAAAAAAGGGTGTGTTCTTAATTAGCTTTCACTCATTTGCATTGTTAGCAATGAAGACAGCAATTTAGTTCTTAGCTGACTTTGAAAGTTTGAATTAAAGCTTATAGTGCTGCTAACCTGAGTTAAAACCCAAGTTGCTGTACGTTCACTGCTATTTTAATTCAACATAGATAGGATGAGTAAAGAACACCCCAGTGTTTGCAGTGTAGACCTAACCTTAAGGACATTAACTATGGCTTGCTTTGATAATATACTTTTTGCTCAGCTTTCAGCTATAAATAGAGACTGAGGCCAACTGCTCCCATCATATATAGTATCCCAGTGTCTGTGCGTGTTGCTGTACGTTCACTGCTATTTTAATTCAACATAGATAGGATGAGTAAAGAACACCCCAGTGTTTGCAGTGTAGACCTAACCTTAAGGACATTAACTATGGCTTGCTTTGATAATATACTTTTTGCTCAGCTTTCAGCTATAAATAGAGACTGAGGCCAACTGCTCCCATCATATATAGTATCCCAGTGTCTGTGCGTCTGTAACGCTGACGTACACGGCCACGCCCCCCTGTGTACGTCAGCGCCCTGCCCCCCCTTCCCCTCCCTCTGTGGCCGT